TATACCCTAATGCCGCACACAGAGCCGTCTCCTCCACAATCTTCACCAGGCGGTCTGCCCCCGCCCTGGCTGGGCCTTCTTCTCCCTCCAACCTTCCAGCTACCGCGCGCGCATGATAGATCACCGTAGCCAGACGAACCCCTCATTCCTGGGGGTCAGGCCTCGTCTGGACCTGTTCCCTTCCGCTCGGCACTGCCTCAGTCGGCCCAGCCTCCACTTGCACTGATGGAGCAATCTCCACAACCTCCACCGTTGGGATGATCTCCACCACCTCTGGGGCGTCCTTGGCCACAGGGACCTCCACCTCAGTTGGGGCCACCTTAGCCCTCTTGGCTCCAGACTCATCTGCGGCTTCCTCTGGGGCACTCCTCTTCTTCTTCTTCTTTTTCAGAGCCCCCCCCCCTTTCTGGCCCTTTCTTTTACAGGGTCTACAGGCGGCGGCCGCGGCTCAAAACTACTTAAGTCTTTTTCCCCCAACGGCCTTGGGCGCGGTCGGATCCTCTCCCGCGCGATCGGTTGAGGCGGTCGGTCCCTTTGCGCCTCCGCGAACTTCGCGGCCTTGGCCAGAACGGCCCGATCCTCTATCTCCTGAGCTTTTCTCCTCGCCTCCAATTCCGCCCGGCCGAGGTCTCTGCCTTTCGGCTGCGGTCCCAGCCCCGCCTCAAACAACGCAGACGGTTGGACAAGCTCGTCCCATCTGGCCTTTTCCCTCTCTCTCCACTCCTTCACTCTCTTCACCATCTCTTCCGCCATCGCCCCCAGTCTCGACTCCATCGACCTAGTTGGCACCTTCCAGATAGTGCGCACCCCCATCCCCCCATTAACAGACACGTAGAACCACCGTGGCCGCCACCCCTTGATCGACGTAGGCAGCCCACGCCACCAATCCCCTCCCCATCACCGCCTGTAGGGTGACCCAAGTTTCTTGCTGCCCTGACGCCTTGTAACACGAAAAGAACTCGTCTATCGTCATGGCCTTCCCCCCATTCGCCTTAGGCCACGCACTCGCGCAGGCCTGCAGAATCTTCCATGCATTGGGCATCAATTGCCCCGGCGCTACCTCCAGGCGATTCAACACGTCAACCACCACTTGAGGCAGTGGCAACCTCAGCCCCCCTTTTAGCGCCTCCTCGTACAGGGAAAACTCCCCTGGCCTCGCAGTAGACGGCCTTTCCCTTGATATTGGCAGCAATAACTCTACCTCCGCCGGAATCTGGTACCGTTCCCTAATCACCTCCAAATCCGCCGCCGTGAGTGTGGATTTGTCCGCCTTAGTGTGCCACTGCTCTGGCTCCACCTGGTTTAGTGTCTTTGGGGCCAATATCAGGGCCGATGCCTGCGATTCTCCCACCGTTTCCCCCACTCCCGCCCCCACCATCTGTGCCTCTGTCCTGTATCGCGCTGCTAACTCCTCCGCATCATCATCCCCTAGTGGGTCCACCCTCACATCGACTACTTCTTCTTGTGCCATTGCTAGGGTTTGCTTACAAATCACTTCTGGCGCAGGAGCAAGGAAGTTGAGAGAATGCTACACAGGTGCGTCGTACGCAGTGAAGAAATTAACACTTGAATATTTTGAGTTTCTGAAAAACGGTAGGTGAAACGCATTATACCTAACACCCACGGTTTACCCGTATTCCATGGATCTACATTAATTTTCACCCGTTTCAAAACCTTTCAAATCAACCTCCAAAGCCGCCTTTTCAAAACCCCACTCGTGACCTATCGTTTCATTTCTGCTCCAACACTTCACTTCCCCCACGATATTACCATGTGTATGGCCACGATGCACTGTCCCCTCCCCTTCCCTTGTCATTTCCCTTTCAAATCATCACAGGGCCCCACTCTACCCCCTCTCCCTCTTTTTTGAGCCCCGCGCCGTCCTGGTCAGCACGCCTCTCGGTCGACTGCTCCCGCTCGACCACCCTCGCGGTCGACGTACCTCTCGGTCGACCCCTCCCACTCGGCTTCCCTCGCGGTCGGCACCCCACTCATCCACCCTCGCGGTCGGCGCGCCTCTCGGTCGACTCCTCCCGCTCGACCACCCTCGCGGTCGACGTACCTCTCGGTCGACCCCTCCCACTCGGCTACCCTCGCGGTCGGCACCCCACTCGGCCACCCTCGCGGTCGGCACGCCTCTCGGTCGACCCCTCCCGCTCGGCCACCTTCGCGGTCGGTACGCCTCTCGGTCGACACCTCCCACTCAGCCACCCTCGCGGTCGGCACGCCTCTCGGTCGACCCCTCCCGCTCGGCCACCTTCGCGGTCGGCACGCCTTTCGGTCGACACCTCCCGCTCGGCCACCCTCGCGGTCGGCACGCCTCTCGGTCGACCCCTCCCGCTCGGCCACCTTCGCGGTCGGCACGCCTTTCGGTCGACACCTCCCGCTCGGCCACCCTCGCGGTCGGCACGCCTCTCGGTCGACCCCTCCACGGCCCACAGCAAACCACCCCGAACCCATCGCTTAGGACCAATAGCATAACCCGGTTAGCAAAGCCCAGGACAGCTGGAGGCCACCTAGACATGAGGGTCCAATGGCATTCGGGCACATGGCAGGTGGAACACGGGCCACATCAGCAGACAAAGATCTGCAGAGTTATCACCACAACACATCACCATTAATGCATCCCATCACAGCATTTATTACGACAACACCTCCCCGTCGGAACAGAGCCCCCTCACCCTGAACAAGGTAAGCTACGGCACAGGCTTTCGGCGGAAGGGGGGCACGTCACAAGGGGCAGTGAAATAATTACCAAAGGATATAAGCAAGGATAGAAAGACAAGAAGAAGGTTAAGCTTTTTATCTCCCCATCTCTTTCTCTACATTTTCTGCTTCCTCTACTAATTCTCACGCCGGAGGGTTCACTGGGGGACTACCCAGTTCCCCTTTGGACTTGCATGCAGGTCATTTGACGGAATCATCACCCTAGACCGGAACCTGAAGAGCCTGAACTAGCCCGACCCATCCACCCGGGACGGACAGCATCATCACCAAGTATATTTGGTTTCTCTTTTATGGGGGTGAATAATCCATGTGGTGTCAATGGGTCGAATCTTACTTGCTTAAAGGCAAGAGCTTTTGGAGGGTAAAAATGCCTAGTGCTCCATCTTGGGTTTGAAGGAAAATTCTTTCTCTTAGACCTATCATTTACCCTCTGATTAAGTACTGTGTTGGGGATGGGGATAAGATTTTCTTGTGGTTTGATAACTAGCATCCCTTTGGGTCTCTGTGGGCTAAGTTTGGGGATCGTGTTATTTATGACTTTGCCCTTGGAATGAAGTTTAAGTTTAAAGATATTGTTGATAATACTAGTTGGAGATGGAAGAGCTTTTGGAGGGTAAAAATGCCTAGTGCTCCATCTTGGGTTTGAAGGAAAATTCTTTCCCTTAGACCTATCATTTACCCTCTGATTAAGTACTGTGTTGGGGATGGGGATAAGATTTTCTTGTGGTTTGATAACTAGCATCCCCTTGGGTCTCTGTGGGCTAAGTTTGGGGATCGTGTTATTTATGACTTTGCCCTTAGAATGGAGTTTAAGTTTAAAGATGTTGTTGATAATACTAGTTGGAGATGGCCTGATGCTTCTTCTTGGGAATTAAAGGAATTGATTGAGAGCACTCCTTCTACTCTCCATCCCAATAATGGCCCAGATTCTGTCAGATAGCTTCTATCCTTTGATGGGAAATTTTCTATCACTTCAACTTGAAATTATTTGAGAAAGTATGGAGATAGAATGTCTTGGGCTGAAATGATTATGGGTTTGATGTGACATTTTGTCTTATTAGCTATTTTATCCTATTTTGTCTTTTTGTGGATTTTAGCCTAAATTGGGCTAAAATCCCACTTCCCAAATAGCCTAAATATCCCTAAGGCTAGTTTTGTAACTTGGATGGCAATCCTTGGTAGATTGAATATTGGGAATAGATTGAGATTGTTTGACATTTCTCAATCTGCTGAATGTGTATTTTGTAAGGACTCGTGTGAAAATCACAATCATCTGTTTTTTGATTGCCTTTTCTCTTCTAGAATCTGGACTTGTATTCAATTTAAGTTGAATGTCTTTTGGCCTGTTGTTCAATGGCCTGGTATTACTCAGCATGTGGCACAATCTGTTAAAGGTAAATCTATTAGAGTTATTATTGTTAAACTGGTTGTTCTTGCAATGTGCATGCACCTGTCTATTTTTTGGCATGCTATTTTTAGACTAGTTGTTTTTGCTTGTATAGTTGGGGTTAGGGCCTGGGGCATGCACATTGTATTTGTGTATATTTTCTATTTTTAATTTATGACAAAAAAAATATTATGAAAAAAATAATTTTATTCAAAAAATACAAGATTTTATGTGTTTAACTCATGACCTTATATCATAATAATATACTCTTCAGCCATCATAATAAAAGTCGTGAATACAAATCTAATATAAAATGTTAGGATGATCCCTTTCCCTTTTTTCTTAAATCTAAATTATTATAAATTCTAATGAGTGGCAAAAATATATATGTGCGCGCGCGCGCAAACACGTTTGTTTTGTATTAGTTTTCTCGTGGGTGATTTTTTAAAAGGTTTCCACATAAGAAAAGAATAAAGGGAAGGAAAAATGCTTGGGAGCACTAATTAGTGCTTCCACTAATTAGGTGGCAGTGGGTTCCGCCATTAATGATGTGCTGTTTTGGTCTTGGAGTTGTGTTTTTTTTTATTTTTTTATTTTTTTAATGCATTAGTGCTATTAATGATGATATTTTTAGTGGGATGAATCATTGTTGTAAAGGAAAGTAAGCAAAATGGAAACAAACAAAGAACATTCCATTTGCCCATGCATGAAGTGACCTACTCTACGTGCCTACCCCAAAAACAGTCATAGAGTTTATCCCTTGAAAAGGTGGAAAGAGAATGTTTGAATCTCTTAAACAACCACAATGCCCAAAACCAAAGAGAAAGATTGGAAAGAAAATAAAGGAATGTCCCACTTGAAAGAAAAGCAGAGATAAGAAGCCTAAAGCAAACCCATCAATCCTCAATATATACATAAGCCAACTAGAAATTACCAAACCAACAACAAAGAAATTAAAGGCTTAGAAGAGAGATGGATTTCGAGTACGAAGAGCCACAAACAGAGACGGTACAAGAAGGAGATTGCGACACACTTCTTGTCTATCTACCTGGTTCGTTCCTCCCTTCCCTTTCTGTCCCCTTTGTTGTTAGTTTTGTGGTTTCTAAGGGGTTTAATCGGTTAAGTTCGGTGGTGATTGAATAAAGTTTTATATCAATTGGACATGTTCGGTGCAATTTATGTGAATTATTCATTTATTTATTTTTATTACGAGAGAGTAAACTGTTTAATTTAAATAAATTGAAAAACAAAAATTGATTATCTAAAAATTTAGAAATATGTGTTTTTGGCTTACGTTTATTGAGTTTGAAGAAAAATTTAATATTGATTGAACATGTTTGACGCAATTTATTTGAGTTGTTTATAATTTTCTTATTCAGCTTATTAGACATAAATAGTTTAAATAAGTTGAAAAAATTATTAATTATCGAAAGGTTAAGAAAAGTATTTTTGGTTTCTGTTTTCTGAAGTTGTATCAAACAAGCCACTAGATTTTGTTTATTTAATTAAAATTGATTATGAAATTTCTGGATCATACTGTAATGAGAATAGTAAAATTGAAATAAAAAAAAAATTGAATTTTTTAGAATAATTTATAATAAAAAAATTGTACTCAGTTGTCTATATTTAAAACTTGATAGACTCAATAATAATTTTCAAAATAAAATAAAACTTATTGATAATTTTCACTAAAATTTATGAAATGAATTTAGCTTCTCTCCATTCTATCGGATTGAAGAGTTACTGTTGGGCCTATTTTTGGGGCCCGTTTTTATAATCTAAATCGTCACATTTTAGGGTTTGTCGAATATATTATTCCTAGAAAAAAATCAAGTTAATTGGATAAATGTAACCACGTGTTTGGAATAGTTTTGTATGGAAAAAAATAAACAGTAAGAAAATAAATGATTTATACAAAAATGATTCGAACACGTGGTTTTTGTTATTCAATTGATTTTATTTTTTGCAAGGATGATATACTTGACAAATTCTAAAATGTAAATGGTTCAAATTATCAAAATGAGTCCCAAAAATAGGCCTACTAAGCCCAACAGTATTTCTCTAGTTCGATAGAGGATTAGAGAGAAGCCAGATTTTTATGAAATTTAGACATCATCATTCAATATACTCATCTAATTAATGACAAATGTTATGTATACATAAAATTCATATAAAAACCATCACAATAATAGTGTGGAAATGCTATTTTGATTTAAAAGAATATATCTTTGTCCATGTTTGTCCATGTTTTAAAATTCATCTTTGTCCATGTTTTGTTTTAAAATGAAAAGAAAATTAAACATCAATGGAGAGACAAAAAAAATATTTACAAAAATATTTATAATTTTGATTATTAATATTTATAATGTTTATCACTTTTTTATAAATATGTTTTTATCTTCCCATATTTATATGTAATTCTCTAAAAATGAATGATTTACACTAAGCTAGATATGTGTGTGTATGTGTGAAGTAAGGATAGAACTTAAAACCGAAATTATGAATTTGTTGAGCAACACATAATATGGGTATATTTCTTGTTATCATTATTTATATTAAGATATTTTTTTGAATTGTATACGTATCGCATATGCGAATTGCTACACATAAATATGAGGTATATTAATATGTAGTAATTCAAACAGGTTTTGAAAAGCGGCAACTAAAGCTTCATCTTACCAAAACTCGAACATTTTTGGTGACGGGAGAACGCGTGCGGGACAAGAAAGGGATTCATGTGAAGAAGGAGTATCCAATTGCAACAAACACTGACACCAATCGAATCACTGCAGCCTTCAACAATGGCATTCTCTACATTCGCCAACCCAAGCTCATTACTTCCTCCTCTGAACACCAATCTCAAACCACTCCCACTCCCACTCCTCCGCCTCCGCTACAACCTCAAAAGAGCGACGTGAAAACTCCGAAGAAGTCGGTGGAGTCACCGCCGTCACAGCCTCAGAAGAGCGATATTCGAGGCAGCGATGAGTCAAAGCAGATGGAAGGGAAGGAGAAGAGCTTTGAATCAATGGATGCGAAAAATGAGATTTCAGTGAGGAAGAAGGCAGTGGCGGAGGAGAAAGGCACTGATGTGGTGGCCGGAGATGGAAAGAGAAGAAGTGATGAACGTGTAAATGGAGATTCTGGTGGTGGTTTCATGGCGGGGGTGGCGAAGAAGTTGGGGGTTTCGATGAACTGGGGTGTGGTGGTTCTGTTGGCTGTTATAATTGTGCTTTATGTTAAAGATTGGATTCAGTCTGGGAAGAAACACGAGAACTAAAATCTTGTAATGTACTTTGCAGACACTATATAAATATATAATCATCAATCATATAGGCATTGCTTTGTATACACTTGATTTCTCATGCAGTGAATAAAAGCACTAACTAGAAATCCATCTTTCGGCTGGAATGGCTTGGCATGTAACATCATCTCCAATGCAGGGTGCGTATTATATGACAAACAAATGATACAAATAGGAACCATTTTAGGTGTTAAGCCAAAATGTAGTATGTATTATATGAGATACAAATGATAAAAATATTAACCATTTTATATGTTAAGCTAATAGAAATGTTAAATGATATGTATGGCAATTCTAATTTATCAATTGACAAACTCATCAATTGCTCTCAAGTGTATTAGAGATGCTGTAAGCACTAAACATACCCACATCTACAAGTACATCAAAAAGTCCAAGGTTTACAATGCATATAATATGTAAAATATACATATACAAGCACCCATTATTTTGGTTAGGGTTATTAATTTGTTCCAAAAATTAGTTTTATTGCAGAATTTGAACGGCACAAAGCAAGAGGACCTTAATAAATACACATTTTCTAGTACAAAATCCTAGTAGTGATAATAGGGAACGAAACCATAGATAAGAACTATAGTGGGTAAGACAAATTATCCATCTTCATCGCAAAACAAAAGCTTGGTAATTGCCCTTTATTCCTCATTTTCCAGTTTATTTCACATAGATAGCCCCTTTCAAGGAACATGGATATGGCTTGACATAAGCAGGATTACAAAAGCAAATACCAATTAAACAAAAAAACAAAAAACGAAACAAGATATCAAAGGCCATAAAACCAGTGATTGGAGCTCATTTAGCAAAGCTTAGTACCCCCTATAATCATCTTCTCCGCAACGATAAAAATGCTCGTATTCTCAAGAGAACAGAGCATCGATGAGTTATTAGTAGAGCCATAAATGGGAATTCCCTTCTCAGATATATATAAGCAAATCACAGTAACGGTCGTCCTTTCTGAACTCACTTGGCACTAGCAAACTGGGTGCGGAGAAGTTTGGCGGCAGCAACCATGTTACTGAGAGCAGGCTTGACTTCCGGGTACTTTCTCGTCTTGAGGCCACAGTCAGGGTTGACCCAGAGGATGTTGCACTCGAGGACAGCAAGCATTTTGTTGATCCGGTCAGCAATCTCTTCTGTAGAGGGGATTCTTGGGGAGTGGATGTCATACACACCGGGGCCAATGCCAGCACCGTACTTCACTCCCTCGCGGAAGACAGAAAGAAGCTTCTCGTCTGATCTTGAGTTCTCGATTGTGATCACATCAGCATCCATGTCGATAATTGAGTGGATGATGTCATTGAAGTTTGAGTAGCACATGTGGGTGTGGATCTGTCCAATAACATCAACACAAAGATGTTCGGAGTCAGAGCATGTCTACAATTATCGCACAGAAAATGTCTCATTTATTTACATTACAAATTTGCTTTTTATTTTCCCACGGTTGAAAGGACCTGAACTATCCACTAGGGGCCGTTTGGTGCAGCTTATTAGGCTGTTTATTGTTTTTTTTTTATTATTATTATTTTTTAAAAAAATTGTGTCATGAGCATTTGCTGGAGTTTCTGCTTAACAACTTTTGAAACAGAATTGCCTTAAATAAGTTTAAAAAGTTGATTATTAGAAAGAAAGGGGAATGACTACTTTTACTTTGTGATTATCCGCTTTTAGTTTGCGAAAAGTTGCACAAAATAGACCCTAGATGGTGGTGCCTTTTGTGAAATGACCCATCAATTAAAGCCGCAAAGACAAATTTTCCAAATGCGTTCCAATTACCAACTCCGAATATTTCGAGTAACAAGTTATGACTAGAAGAGCAAAGATGAACCTGGCAAGTGTCTTTGACACCACAGTTAGTGATTCTGAAGGAGTGAACAGCCCAGTCCAAGTAGAAAGCATGCTCGGACTTCCTAAGAGGCAAACCTTCTCTTAAAGCAGCCTCGTCAATTTGAATAACATTAATTCCAGCTTTCTCTAGATCTTCAACCTCATCCTTGATGGCCAAAGCAATCTGATAGCAGGTCTCGAATCTAAGAAGATGCAAAATGTTGAATGTTAAAAATCATTACAATAGGCAGCAAAATTGACTAAGCAAGCTAGATTCACAGTTGGGTTGTTTCCAAACCTGGGTTGGTCGTTTCTAACAAAAGACCAGTTCAGAATCGTAACAGGGCCAGTAAGCATTCCTTTCATTGGGCGACTAGTCATGCTCTGAGACAACGAGGACCAGAAGACAGTCATTGCTTTGGGACGGCTCACATCACCATAAATGATTGGTGGCTTGACACAGCGAGACCCATAAGATTGAACCCACCCATTAGCAGTAAAGGCAAAACCGGACAATTGCTCTCCGAAGTACTCAACCATGTCATTCCTCTGCATTGGTCAAAGATGTGGCAAACAATGATAACTATGCAGCTCCATTTTCATAAGAAAATATGGCCTAGTTGAAATCTATAGCCAATTTATTTAATATAATGCCCACCTCTGGCTCTCCATGTACCAGAACATCAATGTCGAGTTCTTCCTGGAGCTTGACAACTTTGTTGATTTCCTCCTTCATAGCCTTGACATACTCCTCCTCAGAGACCCTATAAATGTAATAAAGAAGTTACTACCTATGGTATAAAAGTTGAAAAGAAATAACGAATTATACAGAAAACAATGTAATCATAGAGGGAAAGAAAACACACTTTTTAGCCTTGTATTCACGGCGAACTTTTCTAAGCTCCATAGTTTGAGGGAAAGATCCAATAGTTGTAGTTGGAAGAATAGGAAGGTTTAGCTTCTTCTGCTGGGCATCCAACCTGGCACTCACATTTGTGGCTCGGCGGTGGTCAGATCCCCTCAAAGCAGCAGCCTAAGCAAGAAAATAGTAGTCTAAGGTTAGAACATTTACTGCCTGAATATATGGAGGATGGAAATAAACCTGTATAAAATACTTACAGCCTTTTGAACAGCCTCGTTTGTGACCCTTGGAGAGGATTTTCTTGAAGCAAGGGCTGCCGCATTGGCAGAGAAGAACGCCTGGAAGAGAGAGAAAACAGCTGAGAAGCTAAAATTACTCTTTTCGAGTCCCTCTCTTTCCATTTCCCTTGATGATTTGATATTTGATTTATCTTGAAAATTTTCAAATCCCTTTTCATTTTTTGTAGTTAAACATGTGAAATAGATAAAACCCTAAGAAAATTTGAAAAATCAAGCTAGGTGATTGTATTATACTCCCCATGCAAGTCCATAAGTGAAAACCTCAACAAAGGCAAGATGTCTACGTTTCATAAATTTGAAGAATTTGTTATCTACACAATGACGCACTATCTAAAATTGAAGTCAAACTCATGCCTCAGGCCAAAGGCTCATATTGAATTTGTTATCTACAAGGATGGTTAATCTTTTATCTGATTTAATCCAGTATCAAAATTGTTAAGTTTCAAACGTTTAGAACATTGTTGAAATTGTCTATTAATTTTGTCAGCCTCACAAAAATAGCATAACACTTGACTTTATAATTGTGTGCAGCCCAACTCCTCTATTTCAAGCAAGAAAAATTAAATAAAGGAAAACAACAATAGAAAGAAGTAAAATGAAGTACCTCATCTTTGTGACCAGACAATGCCTTTGCCAATGCATTGACTTCAACTACTTTCTGTGCAGCAAATGCAAGCCACGATTTTATCTCTTTGTCCAACTTAGTCTCATTCACTAAATCAACCGCAGTGTGAAGAAGAGAACAGGAGGTTGAGACCACAAGCTTGTCTGTTGAAGATTATGAGGAGGAGAAAAAAAAAAAAAAGCACAGTCAGCCTCCGTCAAAAGATACCTTTCTCTTAAATGCTAATAGAAATCAAAATTTTGGTAATCTGAATTCTTTGGTAAAAGAAACTTGATTAGTAGTAACATCAACTATTATTATGATTAAAAAGAAACATAAAAAAGCATTCACAAATAAAAATACCTTTTCCCACAATGCCCTCAAGAGCCAGCAGGATACTGAGGGAAGCAGCAAGATCATTGGCCCAAATGTTCCTTCCATCAACTACTCCAGCAAAGAGGTATTTGCCTGAAGGGAATCCGCCCTTGATTAAATCAAGGGTCTTTGTTCCACGAACCAAATCAAATCCAAAGCCAGTAACACCCTTCAACGAAGTCAATGTTTTGAAAGCCTCAGCGGGAACATCTGCAAAGTATGTCTCGATGATAACATTCAAACCAGAGAGTGTTGACTCCAGCTCTGAGTAGGCATGAGAAAATGCCTGCAATTTGTGAGGCTCAAGATCCATGACAAGGGTAGGCTCATCAAACTGAATCCAGGTGGCTCCAGCTGCCTTCAGTTCGGTCACAACCTCCCTGGTGGCAAATAGATCACAAAAGACATTTTAGAGGAAGAGACAAAAGTAATATACAATCTCAAAGAAATATGCCATGAGTGGAGAATGACCCAAGTCCTTACTTGTAGATGGGAAGGATTTTGTCGATCAGAGAGAGAAGAGAAAATGACTTCTCAACACCCTTAGCTGGTTTTGATAGCAACAAGTAGGACACAGGGCCTACAAGGACTGGGACGGTTTGAATTCCAAGCTGCATTGTGAAACATATAAGTGCATAAATAAACCAAACAATTCCAGTAAACTTGATTAATTAAAAAATAAATCCATCAACGCGTTTAGCACACACGGACTAGGAAACCTATTCAAGATATTGTGACCATAAAAAGTGACGTGTCTGCCCCCAAAACCCTTAGCCATAAAAAATGAAGAAGCTCATATTTGAACGTAAACATAATTTTCTAGCCTAGCACATGGATAGGAGACAAAATCTCATTTTCCCCTAATCCTATTTCATTTCAAATTCCCAAGAACAATCCTAAGATTTATGGTTTAGGGAGGTCAGACACATGATATTCATACACGAGTCAAACATAGTTTTGGAGTGGCAGAGATGACAACATGAAGTGAAGCAGCTTCTGTAAAGCATCCTAATGATGCACCCATAATAATCTTTGATGTGTAAAAATACTAAAATATTAGCAACAAGACAAGGAGATCTGGCAAACTTACAGCTTTGGCTTCCTTGAATTCATTCACTGCCTTGTGAGATGCATAAGAGAACTTAACATCTGGTCCCAATTCCGGGACAATGAAATGGCTGCATTGATTACCATGTATGTTATTCAAAGTACAAAAACAACATAATTGCTAAATTCTTCAAAATGGACAAACTGTGATAAGCATATTCATCACTTACTAGTTAGTGTCAAACCACTTGGTCATTTCCATGGCGGGAACAGAAGCATTTCCCCTAGCCATGGAAAAGTAGACATCGAACCCAATCTCACCTCCGTTCCAACTGTATCTGGGGGGAACAGCACCGAGCATTGCTGTGGTGTCTAACACTTGATCATAGCACGAGAAAGTATTGCTTGGGATATACTTGATCCCAGCCTCAGCCATCTGCTTCCAGATCGATGATCTGAGATCAGCTGACACTTTCTGCAAATCCTCGGCAGTACTCTTCCCATCCCAGAAAGATTCCAAAGCAAACTTTAGCTCTCTCTTGGGCCCCATACGAGGATATCCAACAATGTGCGATGCCATTGTTCTGTTTCGCAAAATGCAACAATCAATTACTTATAAATACATGACTTCAAACAAGTGAACCCGAGCAAATCACAAAGGAAGAGAGATAATTATACGGACACATAAGAATACATAATACTTGTATGTGTGTTTTAAATATTTGTGAACTATACTTCGTGTGATTTAAACAATGCAGACCATATCTGCATTGAGAACATCCTTTGAATTCTTCCAAGCAATAATAAGGACCAACGGGTGCTAGACATGGCAGCACATAAAATTTGGGTCTTAGTGTTTCACTAAATGGTATCAAACCCACACTCTGATTGCACTGAGCAGCAAGGAAATAGATGATAATTAAAAAAGTCCATAACAGTCATTAGCTGACTCACTCAATTTGCATTGGATTTATGATTAACACAGAATTAGTTATACTCGATCAAATCGGTAAGCAAGCAACAAGAATCGACTCAATTAAATGCAAAATTTATGTTTTACACTTATGATTTCAGAGATAAAAGAGTCCCAAGAGGTGACAAAATTGGAATAACGGTCTGTTTGGAAAGTGGCTTTTTCAGTGCTTTTTACTAAAATATGAGGTGAAAAAATACAAATATATTCGGAAACGACTTTTTGCTTTTTACAGAAAAAAAAAGAGAAAAAAGAAATGTGAATGGAAAGGAATCTTTGGTTTAGTAGAGTAAATAAACGCAAGGAATACTTTTTTGTTTGAGTTGAAACCATTTTTTATTTTTATTTTTTTTTTTTGGCTAAAATAGGCCCTTGCCAAATGGAGGCTAAAGCATGAAAAAACAAAAGGTCCAAGATCTAAAGTCAATCTATGTTCAACACAACACCATAAATGCTCCCAAAAAAAAATAAAAATTTAAAAGCTCGTTTGAATTGAGCGATTCGATGAAATGAAAAATGACGAGAAAGAGATCGCTCTAAAAAAGAATTAGAAATGGAGAGAATGAAAACTCTCTTATTATATCATATCTTCATTTCTCATCAAAAGTAGTGGTGTGATTTGATACTATCAAAATTAACTATAAAAATTAAAAATCAAAACAAAATCTCCCTCATATTCCAATATCACATACTTTGATTTCTTAAGATCAAGCATGACAATCATTTCTTTTCTCACTCACTCATGAAAACTAACTGTAAATCTAAACCATCAAGCATGAAAAAGAAGCATCAAGCTGAAACAAATGATTAGATATATGCTTGAAACCAGATCTGCAACGACTTTCAAACTAAATTCAGATTCAAAAATAAATAAAGAAGCAGATGAATTGAAACAATTACCAGATCTGTATGTATTTATTACCTTATGCGAAGGAAGATGGAACGGTGGATCGAAATGGGAGTTGAGAAGAGAGAGAAAGAAGAGAGAGAAAAGCGAAAGGAGGAGATAAGAGTGAGAGAAGAAGAAGAAGAAGAATAAGGCGTAAGTGAAGGAACCACCAAAATGTGTCTCATTTATAGACTCACTGCCTAAAACTCCAAACTATTCCCTTTAATCTATCTATCAATCATTTCTTTTATGAGTGTTAACACTTACTAAAATTTTTTGGACCAACTCATTTTTTCAATCCCAATTCTAAATTTTAAATTTTAATAATATTTTTTTTTTTTTGACACTTCACTTATTATAAAATTTATTCATATTCATAATATTTTCATAATGAAATACATACCCACTTAATTTTTCATCATTCTTCCTTCCCTAACTCACTCAATCTTCAGAGTTTGGAGTTTTGGTCCAGTACAGTTCCTCTGACCTCCCCATTGCGTAAGGATGGTAATTCACTCTCATACCCTTCTTCACTACTGTCCTATCTGGCAACACATCATTCTTTAAAGCTTGCTTTCCGTCAATGGGGATGGGTGGGTAGAGTCTCATGGTTTCGCTCAACGAAGCGTGTGTGTAAACCATGTCTTTCACTTCTTCGTAAATCGGAGTTTCAGATTTCTAATTGATTTCTTTGAGAATCTCAGTTTCTATATCTGGGTTTTTGGAGACAAGCCAGAAGAACCAGATTAAAGCTTTCATCTAAATGCCCTGAATTCAAGAATCTCAATAGGAGATTAGCAAATTCAAGTGATGATTTTGAATTTGTTCACCACTGTGTAGCCGAAAAAATGTATTTTGTTCAGAACTGTTTTGTCAAACAATAATGATCATGTCAGCACTGTATGTCCGAACAAAATTTGTTCATCACTGTGTAACTTGAATCCATTCCAATTCACAACTTAAAATAACATGAATTAAATCCATTCAAAATACATAACTTAAATCTATTCCAATTCACTCTTTTCCATTCTAAGTTAGTTTAACAAAGAAAATTACATAACTGACTATCTGCATTAATGTTCGGAACCTATGTATTGAACGAAAGGATTATGTTTAGTACTGTATTACCGAACATAATTCTAACAGTCAGCAAACCAATACCGAACAGCTCGAATATAGTGATCCCGGTTTTCCCTTTCGTGCTTAACTGTAATCCGGATTCGGTTTCGTAAGGATACTGTTGTCTTATCCTCTTTTTATCCCTTTCTCTTTGTGTTCGAGCTTTGGGTTGTGTTGGGCAAGTTGGGAATAAGTTGATTGTGTTTTAAAACGTAAAATCTTTGCCCAGTTTTTGGTCTCTCCGCTCGAGCGGCGCTTTTGACGCTCGAGCGGGACTCTGTTGTTGCTTGTTCGCTCGAGCGGGGGTTTTGGCGCTCGAGCGGGGAAATCACCCATCCAGTTTTTCGTCTGCAGTGGTAGACGCTCGAGCGGGGGATTGGCTGCTCGAGCGGGACTTTGTGTCTGACGCTTGAGCGGGGAGTTTGACGCTCGAGCGGGCACCATGTCTGTAAAAGTTCTGGGAGCGTGCATCCGCTGCTCGAGCGGGGATCTGTGAGTGACGCTAGAGCGGGGCAACTTTTATATAAAGCCGAGATCCGACCTTTTTGTTTATTTTTCAACATCCTTTATCTTTCTTACTTTTCCAAAAAGCTATTTTGAGAGTTCCTCTCACTAAAACCCTAACTTCTCTCTTAGGATTGATCTAGTAGGAGTTGTTTTCTCACCTTTGGCCTTTACAAAAGTTATGTTGATCGTCGAGGGCTATCTTTTAATCTGAAAATTTCAGGATTTGGAGCATTTTCGTTTCTTCATCTCCTTCGTTGAGTCCCATCATTCGAGGTAGGGATAACCTACTCCATCTTATGAGCTTTGTCTTTGAATTTTAGCATTTTGATATGTTGGGGGTTGTTGAGAAATTTTGAGAAAGTTTGGGCCTTTGTGTAATTTTACAAAAGTTGGGGTTTTAAATATATAAACCTATATGCATGTTAGGTATAGAGAAATGAGATTGATGTTGGGACATTGATGGAAATGGAACCTTAGGATTGTTTTGTGAATTATGGTAATTTATCCTAATTGGTTTAATTAATTAATGCATATAATTAATTGAAGAAAACGAGGAATTGAATTGAGAATGTTGAAATTGGGAATGTATGGGACTAAAGAGTGTAGATGAATCTTTTATTGCTCGTCTAGTTGGAATGTTGGTATATTAACCACTTGTACATTTATTTCCTGCTTAGAAATAATTGCTTGGGGCTACCGGTGGAGGGTAGTGTTGATTGTTGTAGACAATGCATGATGATTAGGCAAACTAAAACTAATCAATCGGATGTGTCATAGAGTATGATGGTTGGTAGAATACATTAACTTTATGTATTGAGGGATTGTGTATATGACCAATGTGTTTATATGCATTATGTGTAGACAGTTGATAGAATACATTAACTTTATGTATTTGATTGATTGCGTATGTGATTCTGTGTTTATATGCATTACTTGTGTATGGGAGGAGATGGGGGATGTACTTCACGGTTTAGGGGAAGATGGGGGATGTACCTCTAAACTGGTTAATGGTTAAGGGAAGATGGGGGATGGACCAGGGATGCAGCTCATATGCTCTCCCATTGTAGTGATGATGCAGCTCATATGCTCTCCCATTGTAGTGATGATACAGCTCATATGCTTATCTGTTGAAGTGTTGATACAGCTCATATGCTTATCTATTGGAATGTTGATATAGCTCATATGCTTATCTGTTGTAGTAGTGATATAGCTCATATGCTTATCTATTGAAAAGTTTGTTTGATTTGATATAGCACTAAAATGTATATCATCATCGTTTGTGAAATATGGAAGTAGTTTATGTATTATTGATACAACACCAAAATGTGTATCCACCTTGAATTTCGAAAGTGTTCTAGTGATGAAACTATGATCTCATCAAATGTTTGGGCCAGAGTACTGAGCCTTGTTTCCAAACTCAAAGTTGAATAAGAAATGGAAGGTGAATTGTAACATAGACTTGACCGTCATGGAATTGTAATAAGATGTAAATGAAAGTGTAAGTGTTGACCATCTACCAGTTGCTAATCTCTTAGTCATTGTTCATAGTTGGTTTAGTATATTTTTACTGGGCTGTGGCTCACCCTATATGGGGACATCATTTTCAGGTACAGGTAGCATGCACCTCTAAGGACATAGCTTGGGGGGCTAGAGGCGGACATACTTTGGCTGTCTTATTTTCTTTGATTGTATTACTTATAGATTCAAGCCAAGGGCTTAAGGTGTAATTGAGTTAGCACTCTCTTTTGTAACCAAGTGTTAACTTGGAAAGCTGTAAGCCCGTAGGGCATTTGCTTTTGTGTTGTAAACATGTAATACTGTTGTAATGAAATACTCTGATGAATAGATGAATGTGGACCTTTTATGTATCAATGCATGTCTCTAAATGGATGGGTTTAATGTTATTATTTTGAGGGCGTTACATCGAACAAAACAAGAACGACCGAAAACAACCGAGAATGTTAATACAAGACAGATAAACTTATGAATGGAACGCCGGTCTCACTAGAATTGTTGTCCTCGTCCTCCATTGCTCTACACAGTAAAATAAGTGATGAAGTATACGTTATACTTGAAGCAAAACTTTCAAGTTCAATAGCGCTGATAATGGTGATAAAGATGACACATTCAGAATTTAAGATGATTATGAAAAATAATAGATTTAGGGTTTATATTAGTTGGTTATGAAAAGTAATAGGTTTAGAGTTTACAAACATGGAATATGTATAGTTGGAGTTGGAGTTGGAGGTGGAGGTGGAGGTGGAGGTGGAGGTGGGGATAGGGGTGGGTGTCCAATATTATAGAATATTAGTTCTTATTGATAGGTGGGTGTTCCATTTAATAATGTTTTTTAATGTAATTTTACTTTAGGGTATAATTGTAATAATAAAAAAAATTATAAAACGGGGGGTCCAAAGAATTTTGGCAGGTGCTAATAACAGCACTCTTGTTTTATTATGATCTGAGAAGTCCCATTTTTTATTGTATTACGTTTTTGCCCATAGTTAATGAGTTGAATGTTGAGTTGTTTAGATTGGCCTGCCACGTTATGGAAAAGCTTCCTATAGACCTTTTTGCTTTGATACGTTGGATTGGTATACCCACGTCACCACACTGAAACCCAATTCCCGACCCAGAATGTTTTTTGACGATAATTCCGTTGGGTCAACCTACCTCGTATCCGAAGCTGATGATATGGTATATGTAGTCCACACCGTTTGATTAACCTTGTGATGTGGTAGAAGTTTCAGAAAACCATCAGTCGCCGATGTTGCTCGGAAACTGTCCACCTTCCATTCTACATGCATGAATCAACCCCCATGGTCGTCGTGATTGGTGTCTTGAGGCCAAACCAGTTACGACAACAAGGTAATTTAGGAAAATTGTTTGGAGAATCCCTTCTTTTTGGGTTAGGCGTGTTTGTTGGTGGACAACATCGAGTTGGGACTGATAGATGAGGCAATCTTGTTGGCAGATTTGTAAAGGGTGTTGTGCTAGTGTGGATTACAATGTGAACGTAAACGCCACGTCGAGCATCACGACAACGTTATTACCACCATGCGCATGGAACAACATTAGATATGTTGTCCAACATTCAGTCCGATCGAAGAAAATGAAAACTTCAACAGTAAATTTCATTTTGATTCCAATTGTGCAAATTTTAGGGTTTTCTGAAACTAAATCGCATCCGGTTTGGTCTTGCGTCATTCTCATTTGGAAAGTACATCAAACGTTTTCAGGCCCAATAGAAATTGAGGGTTTTGACCAACATCCTTGATTCGGTGTGTTTGTTGTCGAGTGATTTGTCACAAACAATGTTACATTCATCGTCTTGGTTTGGATGTCCCATATTCAATTAGGTCATGGCTTTTGCCAACTCCAGAGGACGTTGCATTTGCAAGTAGTGACCACATCTATGGGATCCAAAATTCTAGATGCGTCATTGTGGGGTTTGGATCCAACCCAAATGCATCCACCACAAAATTGAGGAAGCCGATAGGTTCATTGGTCATCTAGGGTTTTGCCGTAGTAACATTTCATTATTTCCATTTGGTTATTTCACACTCGT